TATACACATACGCACACACACACACACACATATATATATATATATATATATGTATATATATTAAAAGTGTATTGCGATACATATTTATCTATGATACATATTTATCTATGTATGTACTGTATTACATGCTTTTGATGAAGGTTTGTCCTCACACATGCACAATTAATTCTCGCACAGGCTGAGATTAACAAGATTTATCAAGAGCTCGTGCGCATTGGAAGAGTGAAATCTTCCTTCATCATCGACTCCGTAACCAAAAACAAGTCGGTTCGCAGTCGCTCTGGTGTACTACCCATTTCTGTAGCCACAGACGGCAACAACTTCAGTTGTGCATTTGATTGTCACTTCTGTCCCGATGAAACGGTGAAGAATGGGGCACCTAGGGACATGTCACGGTCGTATTTGAGTTCGGAGGGGACGTTTATCCGAGGAGCTATAGAGAACTTCGATGGAGCGGGCCAAATATTCAGGAGGTTATTGGAGTTGGAGATGATGGGTCATCCACCTGACAAATGCGAGGTTTGTATATTCTTTATGTTATGTTGCTGTGATTAGTTTTGTGGATTAATTAGACATGTGGCCTGCAGCTTCACGGTTGTTTGATATTTGAGTTCGAAACTCCCATTCTAGTGATCATAGATCTCTATTGGGTCCACATTGCTTCTCCGAAATGTTTTCACGAATGCACTCACATTTTCAGAGTTGTTGTTCGTGACTAAAATACAAATACAATACAATCACTCTTTTAAACAGATGATAATTCTGGGTGGTACTTGGGATTCATATGACGAGAAATATCGAGACTACTTCATCAATCAGATTTTCTATGCCTGCAATGAATTCCACAGAGTGTCTATTCGCTTAAACGGCGACCTCTCACATTTCACAAGAGAATGGGTGGGCCTAAATCCGATGCAAGCAGTATGTCACTGAGCTTTTCCCTTTGAGTACGAGGCTTGGCTGATCTTTTATCATACTCCGAGCGCTAAGTGCCTGACAGAATCAAAATTTTGTTCATTCATAAAGGGATTGCGATTCGACTCGCTTGGGAAGATAGCAGCAAATCTCCGACCTATGCTCTCACTGAGCGAAGAGAAACGAATCAACGAGACATCTGAATGTGCCAGGATCATCGGCATAGTATTAGAAACAAGGCCGGATTGTATCAATAAGGTATTGTACTTTGTCAAGACGTGATGTATACTTCGTGATTAGATTCGCGCGTTTGTACCCTTCTTGTGAAGCAGTTACGGAAGCTCTGTTTTCTCCGTGATCGCGTTTCGAGCCTGCAGAACTAGCTGATTGAGCACAGTGATCGTATATGTTGGGGATTTATTTCTCACCGAGTCTGATATAGTAAGGTTCGATGTTTATTTGGAATCGGCTCAATAAGGATCGCACTAATACTCAAAAATCTGTTTGTGAGCAGCGTTCACTCAACCGCAAGCGAACGTTGGGGTGTACACGTCTACAACTGGGAATACAACACACCGACGACGATATTTTAGAGCTGAACAACAGAGGCCACGGTGTTCAGAAGAGTAGAGATGCGTTGAAGTTTGCTCGGGATGCAGCATTCAAGGTAGATGGCCATTTGATGCCTGATCTTCCCGGAACGACGCCGGAAAAAGACTATGAAATGTTATCGGAGGTACATCACTCGCTTGGGTAGTGCAAATGCGTGTCGTCGCTCATGATTAGCTCCCAGTTCAGCTGATGTGCGAGTGCACAAATGAGACCAGAGAATCTATATGTGCTTCTTTGTATTGCATATGGGATGCAGGATTTGTTCAGGGTCGCTGTATAATCATGCTTACATGCTATGTCAACCATTTGGAAACAAATGCATTCTTACGTTTTGTGTGTGTGACTTGCAGGTGTTTGGGGGCGAAGAGTTGCAACTGGATTATTGTAAACTGTATCCTTGCTTAGATCTGCCGTATACAGTCACTCGCAAATGGAAAGAGGATGGCTCGTGGAAGCCAATGGCTGAGCATCAGTACCAAGAGTTCCTGGATATACTACGCCATGGTAAGTCCGACCATACGCATGGGTAAAAACACGCTACTTGTATGGATTGGTGTCAAAAATTGTATCACATCTACGTTACCCCCCTTTCCATTCTGGCCTTTTCAAATGCCTTCGTATAGTATATTCGGAACAAGAAATGAACTAATAATGTAGTGGAGATTGTTGTAGCCGGCCGGATATTTGGCATATGCTAGGTTTCTGTTCTGTGTATAGCTATTTTTTTTCTTCTGACACGCTTTTACTATCCTGAATCATCAATCTAAATCATGTGTTCGGAAATACACTAGGTATGGCGATTTGCCCACCATGGACACGCATCAATCGAGTTCATCGAGATTTTCCTGAGGCAACGGTTAAAAACGACTATCTGGGCTTTGTAAGTGAAAATATTAAATCAAATCTACAACAGCACATCGTACGTGAACTGAAGAGCCACGGGCAAGCGTGTTATGACATTCGATCGCGAGAGATTGCAAACTCATTCCCTGTGGACTGTGATAGCCGGGCACGACTATTCATGCGAGTGTATCGAGCCAACGAAGGTATGAGCTTTCCGATATATTTATGGCCGTATACGTACGTGGAGATTACACACTTCTGTAGATATAATGCTGAATGTATACAATGCAACTGGTAGTACAGAAATACAGGCTCAGTCTAGAGTTTGCCTTGTCCAGATTGAAAATCGTGTCAAAATTGCGTTGTCAGATCGATTTGAACGCCTATTCACTGATTTAGCAAATCAGACCACTTGGACCCAAACTTAAATACTTCGATGAACGTTATTTTAGTCGGCTGTATTATGTCACATATTACCCAAGCTGAAGGTTCCGGTGTTAGATCTAATTCTTGATTGTGACTTTTTTTTTAAACTGGAAGGCACGGAGATATTCCTGTCCGTTGAAATTCCTCGTACGGATGCCGCTTCTCCTGACGATGCTATGTTGCTGGGCTTGTTGCGACTGCGTTTGAATGATGTCGATTGCCGACGAGTGCGCGGAGAGCACCCAAGGATACCACAGTAAGGCACACACTGTGCTTTGTCTCAAGCACACTGTTCTTCCCACCTTGCCAGTGTGTACCTTTTACCACCTTCTCAAGCATAGTTTGCCGTTGTCTGATCGCTATCGCGTATAGATTTCTGTATCCAGCACGCTTTTTAACTCGCGGCATGACTCCTACACTTACCCAGGCATTACCTGAATGAATTTGCTGAGAAACCCTACGCACGTATTAGAGAGCTGCATGTATACGGCAATCTGAAAATGGTGACGCGCGAGCACACGGACCGGTCCAATTCTCAACACACGGGCGTGGGCAAGTTTTTGATGGCTTCGGCAGAATCTATTAGTCGCTTGTGCGGCTTCGAGCACATCTGCGTAATCAGCGGTGTTGGCGTAAGAGGCTATTACCGCCACCGAGGTATGGTCCTGAATGTACACTGTTATGTGTGTGATAAGAGCAGAAACCGGATGTTGTAACCTGCGCTCGTTTTCAGGTGTTTTTAATTGTGACTTATCCCTCATTCAACGGTTTTGCGTATCCGATCTTGCCTCTACAGGCTATGAGCTCACCGGCGGCAGTGGGGAATATATGGTGAAGAATTTGTCGGCGAACGAAGGCTTGGACAAGACCCCAGAGTTCAAATTATTCGGCCACACATATAGCGACTATGAAATGGGAGATGCGTTGATGCAGGTATGCATGTGGTGGGAGTCACTCTCAATTAGTGTGTACCAGTTCACCTTCGTTGGGTGTATTTGGGCCCATGACCTATATAACAATGCTGTGTATGGCATATTCGTATGCTTTGTATCTTTACACACCTCTTCCTTTTCCGTATGTTGGTGGCTGTGGCTCAAATTCATATATCGAGCTTACCGAATCAGTCCATAGTGCCGTTTGGTTGTATCATTTTGAGATCATTCTCTAATATTACCCCCTGCACTAAATCAACAGGCGAAACTGACTAATTCATGCCTTAGCCCCGAGGCACGAACCTATGTAAACTCCCAACGCGACTCATCGAATGTGCTGAAGCACTCTGTGCATACATACGCACACATACAGGATGGTCGAGCACAGCTTGTCATTCTAGGTATTCCGAAGACCGCCTCCAGAACGGCGATCGACAGCAATTCGATGTACTTGATGCTTGCCTTGCTGTTAATGCTACTATCCATGGCTTTGAAGTCGATCATGTGATCAAGAGATACCGAGGTCGCGCCAAAGTTAATCAATTAACGTTTCTGGTCCGAAAAGGAACCTTAAGCGATGACGGGTTGTCATCAGCTTCTACTTGACGCTGGTAGGAAATGCATATGGCTTCATGATGAAGAACACATAGACGGTAGTCGATATGGCCTGAGTAGTTCTTGAGAGCCTTGGTCACGAGCCTGTTATTATATTCTGGCTCATATCAGGCACACTATTGCTCGCGGTGGAGAAAACAATATCAGAAAGCATTGCATGTAGACCCGCACTACTCGATGGTACTTCGCGTTGCGCTAAGTTTTCGTATAGTAATACAAAATGTTTAATTTAACACTCATTGCGAGTTCCAGAAGCTAAAGACGTATTCATATATGCAAGTGTTTCATCCCAACTAGCGTGTCGAGCCACTGAAGTTAGGTATAGAAAGCGTACGTTACCCAGCTTGGTATTAATTATGCAGGATCTTCTACGAATGGAAAATTGTACGATCCATATAAAGTGGAACGTACGTGTACCCCAACGGATTTCCACGTATTTTTACTTAGACATAAAGACGCAGGTACTACAACTGTACTGCTTGAAACTTGAACCCACGACGACTCTGCAATTCTAGTCGGGAAACTCAACGAACGGCACGTGTTCTATCCATCCTGATATGTTTTATTATATCATTCAAACAAGAAGAGTAGCGTGGAAACTAAATCATCTCAAAAGATATACTATAGTGACTGTCCAGCTAATTTAATATCTGCGCGCGAGTAACAGTTGATGTTTTGACAACCTCATTCTAAATATGCCAACTCTTATGTATACTAAAGGTCTGGAAATGACATTTTTAGAGCTCGCTCGTAGTATCTGGTAATAACTTGAAAAGGTTCATCATTCGAAGTTTTTTTTCGGATGTATGAGACCCGTACTTTGGGATGTGGTGTAAATGCCGAACACGACAGTTGGTGATATCATGGGTGCAGCTTCCATCGGCTGTAGCATTTGTATACATGTACACAACGACAGAATAGGGCGTCTTCAAAGAGCTGTGACTGACCTATTGTAAACCCTTGTATTGTCAGGAAATGAGTCACTGTAGCTTAAGTAACGAGTGGAATATCTGAGGTACGCAAACGGGTATATGGGTTACATGGAAGTGCTCATCTTGGGGCAATTTTCCGGACAACATGACAATGCCAAATCGACACTTTATTTTTGCGTATCTTTATATCCTATGCTTCATATTGGATGCGATTTTCCGGACCATTGCACAGGTGAATCTTTATCAATAAGTGGCTACCGTGTTCTAGTTCGTCTGTAGTGTTAGCTTTGCAAGACACAAAAATAGGCGGAAATAATTTACTTACATCTTTAGCGCTATGGGCAAATAGTGTCATTTGATCTCGAGTCTGCGGACTTTGCCGATCACTACTCATAACTGACAGGAAGTACGACTCCTGTAGTTGCAGCAGTATAGCTGCAAATAGGTGTGTTTTGATATAGAGTACAAGATGAGGTTGCGAGACGATTGTCAGACACATGTATCACTTAAAACTTACACGAGAAACTTTGGATCGGATTCTGGTTCGCGATTAGCGCTCTTTGTGAGCGTCGTAGAAATCCTTCCAGTGAGCGACATTCAGATATTTGGCAAGTTGAATTTTCGGGCCAGACGATAAAATAATATCAGTTAAGAACAAGAAGTGCAATGTTAGGAGTTGTACACCAGTACGTATACAGGAGAATACGAGCTGGCAACTAAATATGGCTTGCGACGTGGTCAGGTAGTAGTCTGTATCCCACGGACAATAATATCAGTATATTTTCGATACTTGAAGTCCTATTCTATTGTACTCGCCTTACGCTTTGAAGATACGGATGAGATACACGGTAGAGGTAGACCTAAATATAAAATGCAAGATACGCAGTAGCTCTCTGTCGCGCTTGTAGTTTTGGCTGTACAAAACATGTCCGATGACTGTACTATTCTATAGGGGCGAAAAAAAGTTTGCCATTCAACTTGGCAACGAGACCATGATATTGATAAATGAATATTAATATAGGGTCCAAGGCTTTACACAGCCCATTGCAACTGTATTTTGTGCTACGAACGCGTGTGTGACTACGATCAGCTGATATTGGAGCTCATTACCTGATAAATATCATTTCTAGATTTGGCGGCAGCACCACCAACTCATAATAAAGTTCTACATGTAGATATATATATAGCTGGTCTGTTTATCTGATATACACACATATTTAAGAACCCTAGAAAAATCACTGCCCCCAGTGTCTGAGCACCGTCGCCTAGCGACCCCTTCTCCGTATACGTCTTCAGAAAAAGAAAAGGAAAAAAAGTCCACCTGGCAGGATCTTGTAAATTATTGATTCAGACACATCCTACAGGAAGACACAAGCTAAAAACCTCGCAAGTACATGTGTGCACCTGCATTCGCATACGGTTTTTATGCACGGGTTGTTTCACACAAAGCAGATAGCACCTAGTTTGTATGGACAAAGTTAAATTCACCTATGTTTAAATATACCAGGCCAGTGCGAATTCTTTATTACTGCTAACTTAGTTTTGCAACACCTGAATGCTATTTATGCCATCTCCAGCTTGACGTGTTACATCAACACATCAGATGCGTGATTGCCGCGAGTGAAATAGACATTAATCGAACATATACTCAATACGCAAAACAATACAGGTGTTTTTTTACTTCGTCCATAAAAAATTGTTATTCACTGACCAAATATTTACCTTCAATGACGGAAATATAGCAATGTCAGATAATTGCTCTCATGCCTACTTGCCTCATAGCAATCGATCTTTTCCAATTTGTTCCATTCTGTTTTCAAAAATCGCTTCGACATGACAAATGAAGCACTGTACACCAAGATGGATCATGTCAATAGGGAACCAATTTAAAGTTTCATTCATCCTTCAACCTACTTCAATTGAAAAATTTGTACCTTCCTAGAAATGTCTTTAACTTTGGATTTTACCTTAAAACCCAGAAATGTGTACAGTGCTTGAGCTAGCATATGAAGGACAAATGATATTGCTACGCCATCCGTTTGGTTTCTGGAATTGTAAACAAAGAATCCTGACGGAAGTCAGTGCTTCTCGAAAATGACGACCCTTCCGAATAGAGTAAAGCTGTTGATCGTGCATATGCACACTTTACCGAAGCAAACTACAGTACATATTACAATATTTGGCACATTTATAAGTACATGCAAGATACATTGCAAACAGGGTACAGATTAGAAGTTGATGCCCCATGAAGGTCACCCCGCACGCGGGTGTAAACTATAATCACAAAAGAAAACCTCGTCTGATACTTAGACACTGTGTCACACAGATGTTCACAGTGTGGGTCGTATGTGATATTGAACCTATCAGGTTACAATTCACTACAACTCAGAGTCTCAGACTGATAAGTCTGGCTGTATGCGAACATTTTAGTCAATCTGTCGATTCTTCCTTCTTGGGAATATAGATTCCTAATTTCCTTGGTCAGGTGTCCCTCTCATTGGTTTTCAGCCTAAAAATTTCCCTCCTTGGCAACCACTGTTTATTTCAGGGCACGAAATTTACTGGCCGATTATAAGAAATCCCCGACAACAGAATCTAAATTGAAACTGAGACGAGGGATTGGGTTTGCTGATTGCTCTGGCAAACAAGCCAATTTTATTTTTATTTTTGTAGATTTGGCACTGCACTCATACTGACAACTACCCGAAGATTGTATTACAATCGGAAATGCAGATGAAAAACCCGCTAGAATCCGTATTTTTTTTTATTACACATTTGATATATTATGGCACTTCTTTGATACGCTATCTTCACTTTTTGGTGGACTTGAGTTCGTACACGAAGATGATTCGCACTATTCTAAAGACCGCTATCCTGGCATCGGTATGCTCTACCGTATTCGGTGGACTTGAAAAGTTCGATGGCTCTCCAGCAATTAATAGCCCTATGAAAGGCTCTGGACAAGGCTCTGGACCTCGCCCTGACACCACCATGAGCACCAAGACAACCATGCACTTTGATGATATCTCTGACCGCCCCACGGACTACGAGACGGAATTGGAGACCGAGACTGTCACTATCACACGTGTGGTAACCGGCCCTAGCGGACCGAACGGTGACTGTATGGTACCCGAATGCGCGTCTGTGGTCGAGCTCACCCTCACTGGCTTTGATAGCCACCATGAACATGAATTTATTATTGATCTTGTCAAGGCACTAAATGTCGTTGCTTGCCAGGATATCGATGGTACTGGAGCCCCTTGCAACCTGCCAGAGCCAATTAATCTGGTTGATTACTATTCTTCGGTAAATGAAGAAAACGTAAACAAGACCACTACAACACTGGTACTTACAATTTGTGACGAAGCGTGTGCTGAAGCTTTCCTAAGACGTGTCACAAGCCGATTCTTTGCAGTCGAGTTGTTATTAGAGCTAAGACCGGGTGATAATAGGAGAGGATCCCTTTCAGGAGCTTTCAACGCTATCAACTCTTTGACTGGTCAGGTCACAGGCGCACCTTCCGAAAATCCAGACAGTCCCTTCAACCCCAACGGAGGTACTTTCACCTTCGACGAGATTGCTTGTGACTTCGCTGCAGAGGTAGAGTCAAATCTCACGAACTGCCTCGGAGAAAGCCAGTGCTACTCCGGAGGTATAGTATGTATCCAGTGCGAGTCTGGATTCATCCAAAATGTAGATCTTGTCTGTGTTGAAGACGCCCAGTGTTCCGTTCTTGCGCTGGAATCATGCGAGAACGCTGCAGACTTCTGCAGCTTCCCGAGTATTATCAACGGTGTCGCTGTTGTCACACCCGACGAGGGTCCTATTAGAGTGTGTCCCTCCAGTGATTGCTGCGCGACTCCGGGTCCTCAAGAATTCTCCGTTTTTACAACTTGTGATGGTAATTGCCCCTCTCCCAGTCCAGTCTATAGACGCTAAGTTGAATGTTCTTTTGCGGCAGTGGTTTCAAAAACCACGGCTGGCGTTTGATCGTCTCCCCCACCTCAACTCCACGACACCTCTGCTCACATTAAAAGAGTAAAAATTCTTTTTCCGAATCCTTGAAATACTTTCAACGCTTTTATTGTGTAGCTGATTTGAGGAGTGAAAGTGCTTCCAACTAAAGATTGAACGAAATGTATGTAAGTTTACTTGTACTACGTTGTCACTTGGGGCTCAATCGTGATTCTCGATGTCTTAAATTTCTTTCAGTGTCAGAAAGAACACCATAGCGCCGAGTTTATTGTGCTTTTGTGTCCTAGTCCTACAACCAAACCGGATCCTATAATGCCAATATATCTACACTACATGATTTTATTCTTTTAGATTATGTAGTATACCAGTGAATTAGCTTTTATTATATCGAATGTCCATATGGATGCGTGTCTTTCATCAAATTCATTTGTTCGACATTTGTAGCTGGATGCTGTACTGTCGCACACAAACATCGTGTATCCTTTATAAAAATCGAACATCGGTTCATATCCTCATCGTGCATATATATTGTTCTTCTAGATCAGTACGTGTTAAAAACATGATTGATTCACGTTAAATACGACTTTTACTGAAACATATTGCAAGCATAGGTAAAATCGTTGATGGTCCAGGGGAAAATTTGATGAAATCCCTCGCAAAGAGCTACCGTGAGCTACATTCATGAGAAATACCGGTTTGTGCGAGTCTTATTCCAGTCAAGATCACGATCACATCTACTTGCCGCCAAACTATAAGCCACTGCATACCCGAATACTTGTTTGCCTTTATTGATGGCAGCAGAGCCACTTCGAATTTAATACAGGTAATATCACCGATCTACAATCGGATATACAAACCTTTCATGCACTTTAGAGGTGCCCAATAATATCTCATCAATAACTCTGACGAGTTCTTGCTGGTTGAAACCCCGCACACTCCCAACACACGCACCCTCGCGGTAGACCTTGAAAGTAGGCATTGCTGATACGCCTTCTGCACTAGCAACCGAACGTACCTCATCCACATCGACCTTGTAGAATCTAACTCCTTTCGAGACATATTCGTCGGACATTCTAGCGTAAACGGGCACCGCTTGCCGACAAGGCCTAATGAAAATAAAAGGCACAAAGAGATCGTAAAGACATATTGAAAACAGATCCGATGGAATACTCTGATCTACAACCTATAGCTAAATATGTGAAGGATATGGATTCATATTATCGAGGGGTGGACACCAATAAAATTGAATCTTAACTCTACCAACACATGCCCGAGTATCACAAGGTAGTCAGTTTTGCCGAGCATCAGTAAACGCGGTGACTTCAAAACGTAATAAACGAGCTTTTTGTCTGTCTAGCAATGATTCTCTTCTTCACAAAATAAGATCGGGGAAAAAGTTAGACAAACCATATGTAGTAAATACTCTGCTTCATAGGTGATTATGACAACTATAAATGAGTATTAATTTAAATCAACATCTGACTATATAATCAAAATAGCTAGCGATGCTAAAAATATCACTCAATGCTCCTCAATCCACACGTATACATACACACACACACACACACAC